TGTCTCACGGCAAGATGGCTTCCAACTTTATATCTCGTTTTTGAGGAAGCCTGATTTTCCGGACTGGTTCCCTGCTTTCCTGTTTTAAAAAGAGTTTAATGGAATCACATCAAGCGTGGCTGTTCAACAGCAAAGAATAACAGAATGACAATGGCAGAAACACTTTGATAAAAGTGGTCTTCCAGCATCAACCAAACTAATCTTGGTGGAAATGGTGTTATTGAAGACACTGCATATTCCACTGCCCAAAGATCTCCTCCCCTCTCACAATCGTAACAAATTACTAATGTTTAGCAGTTCTTGGGGGGAAATGAAGTAATAAGTTTTTGGGATTCTGAATTTCAAGTCAGAAGACAATTACAGGTGAGTAATCAATATTACTCAACCTTGCATCTGCCGTGACAGGATTTCCCCCCACCAAACACAATCTATTGAGCTATATTACTCATTTTCCTTCTTCCCCTTTCCCTTCCTCAGTACCTATTTCTTCTACCAAAAAGAAATCCTCCTGTGCTCTCCAGGTGTGCTCCTGGTTTAAGCAGCTGTGAAGTTTGTTGTTTTGACTGCTGAACAAAATCCTTGAAAAATGTATGTAGCCCACAAGCAACCACCAAGAGGCAACTCTGTGTGAGTCTGTGCATGTGTCACACATAATTACACGCATTTATTAGGACTAGTCAGCCTTGTAACATCAAGGCTGCTTATACCACCAATGGTTGCGTAGATGAGGGGGAAATGTGGTGGGTGCAGCTTTTCAAATCTTTGAGATATGGTGCCACAACCAGCTGCTATATCAGCTCTTTTACCTCCCTATTAAAGTGAGGCCTTTGCAAATCCAGTCTCAAGAGCCGATGACCACCATCCTGACCTGATCTCCTCCTCCAAGGTCTCCATAAATTCCAGAGAACTCAGAGGATGTCTTCACATACTCTATCAACTTAATTTTTGGAGCAAGCAGAAGCTTCTGCTCTTCCATGACTCAGCACAAGGCAAGAGATATTTCCTGCACGTAAGGAGCCAGGAAAAGAGGAACAAGCACCACACATAACAACTGGCCACAGAGCTAAGCCAACATCTGTGGACCTCCACCCAAGGGTTCAGAATGCCTAACACTGAAAGGCCAGCCATCTCTGACATAGATAGAAAAATTATCTATGTATGTACATAGTTTAATGTAAAATATTAACAGAGAATCCAACCGGTTCGCGATCAGAGAGAAATAGTTCATCAGCATTTGCCAGACAGCTCTATGGAAAAGAATTCTTATACTGTTCTTTCTGCAGAAACCTCTCCACTGCCAGAAATTTATCTTGGATAGACAAGGGAGAGGGAGAGAAACACAGCAGCGCATAGGCAAAAATGTTGATTATTTGTTTTTTTGCTGCATCCCAGCCTGCTTCAGAGCCACTAGCCGGAAGGTTCAATTCAAGGTACTGGATATCACATACAAAGCCTGACATGACCTTGGACCCTCATATCTACAGGACTGCCTCTCCTTCAAAGGCCTCTTTGTTAGTCGCCCTGAGCCTTCGGGGAGGGTGGGATATAAATCCAAAAAATAAATAAAATAAAATAAAATAAAAGGCCCCACAATGACAACTTTGTTAATCTTATCTGGGCCTTCTGTGGGTGTCACCCTACAAGTGGGCAGGGTAACAACCACCCGGACGTGTGCATTCTCTGTTGTTCCCCCCCACACACCTTGTGGAACAGCCTGCCTAAGGTCAGGACGGCTCCTACGCTCCTGTCGTTCCTTGAACTACATAAAACAGAATTGTTCAGGATGGCATTTCTAGAAAGGTAATATAGCTATACTGTAACTGAGTGGTTCAAAAAGGGGAATAACTGAATGGTCTATATGACTGTGTAAACAATGATATCTGTTTGCTGTGTGAATTATCCTTCTGTTCCTGCATTATTTTCTACTTGTGCAATACCATTCTTCTATATTGTCTCTAATGATGTAATGTCATTTTCTGCATTGTATCTGCAAAGCTGAATCATACCTGAGACTCAAGGTGAATTACACATTGTAGCTGATGTATCCAATGGGATGAGGCATCTAATAAGCAATGCACTAGGACCAGGAGAGGGTGCTCAAGATGGCGCCAAGGTTGCAGCACTGATTAACGTTCTGCAAGTTATTTTCTTTCTTTACTCCCACTTTTGCTTCTTATGGCTGCCCCTGAATGTTTGAATTCCAATTTCACTCCTACGGGCAGCAAGTTTTACTGTTTTACTGTTGAGATAAGCCTGGGAAGTGTTTTACGAGAAACAGTAGCTAGAACAGAAAACACTAGGACCAGGATTTGCAGAATAGTTTCAGATTTCTATACATCATAGTCTTGTACATTGCTTATTAGAGGTCCCATCCTGTTGATCCCATGAACTTACAGTGTGCAATCAGCCTTGAGTCTCAGAGAGAAAGGCAGACTATAAATGTAGTAAAATAAATACATAATAATGCTGGAGGCAGGAAGAGATGTGATTGTACTGATGTTCACACATCCTTTCCCAAGCGTAACGTAAGAAACACTGTGATTCTAAGAACGCAACCTTACCTGTTCTGAAATGATTTCCCAGCAACGTTGTCTCTGTAAGAATCAAACAAAACATGATACTGGTCCCGACTCCACTCAAGAACAACCTAGGAAGAAATATTTGAGAATTGTATTATCAAAAACGATGAGGCATGAAACTAGCATTTAAGACTGCCCCTGGATGGCAAAGGCTTTAAATAGTTTTGGTTGGGTTACTCACATACTCACCGCATCCAGACGAGAACACTATTTTTATTTTATTGGGCTTATATTTATTTATTTAAATCATATCCCGCCCTCCCTGCCAGGGCAGGCTCAGAGCAGCTTACACAGGATGTATAAAACAACTAAAACACAAAATTCAGTAAAACCACAACAATATAATTATAAAACATAACATAATATAAAGTGCTAGTGTGGTTCGTATCACGATGGCGGGCATTAGCAGCATCCAACAGGCATACAGTCAGCTAACGTCGTAGTCTGGGTTCTATCAGGCTGCTAATAGTGATGTTATATCCTAGCCTACCCCACAAGTGGGCTCAGGGTGGTCACAGCATGTAAAATATAATAATTATCAAAACATATAATCTAAAGCCAGATTTAAAATAGTACAAAACAAGACGGCAGCTTAACAAATAACTTCAGGTTGTCCATAATGCCTCCTGCAAGATGTTCATCTTGGCACTGGGGTTGATGCTGTTGACAGAGGAGGCTGAGATGGTTGGAGGTCTGCTGCCTCTACCAAAGGCCTGGCAGGACAGCTGTGTTTTATAGGCCCTGCAGAACCATAAGAAGTCCTGCAGGGCCCTGATCTCAGCTGGAAGCGCATTCCACCATGCCAGGGCCAGAGCAGAGAAAGCCCTGGCTAAGGCTAAGCAGATGTCTTTCAGGCCGCCAGGGACTACCAGAAGATGTTGCCCTGCAGAGTGCAAGCCTCTCTAGGCCACACACGGGGAGAGACTGAAGAGTGTTTGGAATTCAAAACTAACTTATTTTATTTTATTCATTTGATTTATACCCCACCCTCCTCACAAAGCGGGCTCAGGGCAGCTCACAGTCAATACATCATAATGCAGTTGCCAAATTGCTAGAAGGGGCAAGCTGCTTTGAGCAAATTTTGCTTAATCTATGCTGAACGCAACATAGCATGCAGGCTCAATACAAAGTGCTGGTTGTAACCTTTAAAACCCTACACACCCTAGGACTGCAATACCTCAAGGACCACCTGAGATCTTCATTGGAGATTTTTCTCCATGTTTACCATCTAAAGTTTGGGGCTGGTCACAAGGAAAATATCTGTAGTGCTGTAGCTTTGGGAAAACCCCACACACACCCCAGAAAATTCACTTTTTCACATTTTTTGGTCTTCTGTCAAAGGCTCAAGACAGAACTTTTTACCACGACTCTGCTGCTATGTAATCGGTTGGGGTTAGTTCCAAGTGCTTTGATGCCGGTTTTACCTGTTTGCTGGCAACATTGACAGTGTCTTTTAATTATCGCTGATTTTAATTAGATATTTTATCTGAATACTACTCTTTGTGTTGTTAATGTGTTGTACTGCACCCAGGGAGTCCCTTTTATGAACCACCTAATCAAGCAAATCAGTAGCTCTGATGGAAGTGTATGAGAAAGAGTAGGGCCACGTACTCTTCAGCAGAGAAAAGGCTAACACCTGGAGAGCCAGCATGGCACAGTGGACAGAGCATTAGAGTAGGACCAGGAAGACTCGTGTTGGAATCCCTGATATGCAACAGAAGCTTGCTGGGCGATTTGGGGCCAGTCAGACACATTCAGCCTAACCCACTTCACAGGTTTGTTGATGCTGCGAGAAATTGGAAGAGTGGAGAATGATAAATTGCTGTAGGTGCCAATGGGAGAGAAAATCAAGGTATAAATAAATACATACTAGATGAAATATCCAGCATTTTAAACAAAAAAAATCAGTGTTTTGATGGCTGCTCTTAAAACTGAAAGGAAATTTCCATCACATGAGCATGCAAAGGATCGGATTTTTTTCAGACCAAAGCCACAACAAATTTATTCCAAATGGATAAAGCTATCCTAAACTCACAAAGGAATCCCCCACCCTGTACATTTATTTGTTTCCTTTCCCATCAAAAATCTACTATGTCAACATAACCGGTTATTCTCAAGGATATAATGAATGTTTATATTTGAACAACCCGGATAGACTATTTGTGCACAAATCCCTTATCTCATTCAGCTTGGCACCACCATGATATAACAGACAAACCCAGAAAACTATTTCAGTGTAGAACTAATACGATCAACTGCATTCCCCCTCCAAGGGCTTCATCGATAACTACGACTCAGACTATTATTGCTAGATTCTAAAGGAGGCTGTGGAAATTGTTCAGCACTCCAGGCAACCCTAGGAATGTTTGGTGAGCTAAAAGTGAGCGTCCTGTGTTTGGATTTGAAGAGGTAACTCCCTCCCACCAGCAGAGTGCACTTTTTTTTAATTAACACTGTGACCACTAGATAAAATCTGACAAATGCATGAGCAGCTCCTCTGCAATTGCCTTTTTACTTATCTTGGTGTATCTGTCAACACAACTCAGAGCTGATCAGTCAACTCGTTGCCCTGACTTGGAGGTCCCAGGCTAGCCTGGCCTTGTCAGACTTAGTAAGCTAAGCAGGGTCGGACCTGGTTAGTACTTGGATGGGAGACCACCATGGAATTCCAGGGTCACTACACAGAGCCAGGCAACGGCAAACCACCTCTGAACATCTCTTGCCCTGAAAACCGTTCAGGGTTGCCATACGTCAGCTGTGCCTGGGTAGCACTTTCCACTACCAGTTAACCAAGACATATTGGCTGACAGTGTCCAAGAGTGGAGGAGGGAGAGGCTCACACACATATTTATTTCATTTACACCCCTGCCTTTCTCCCCACTGGGGACCCAAAGCAGCTTACATCGTCTTCCTCTCCTCCATTTTATCCTCACAACAACCCTACAAGGCAGGTTAGGCTGAGTGTGTGTGACTGGCCCAGGGCACCCAGCGAACTTCCACTCTTAACCACCACACCACACTGCCACAATCTATGTTAGGACCAGCTACTGTCTCCCAGACGTGCATTCTGCGCCGGCAGCAGGAGTCTTACACCCCAGTGCAGATATAAAGAGGAGAAGACATGCAATGCTGGGCGAGACCTCCCCACCACCACCACTCTCGTGTTGCGCCTTCCTCCTGGCTTCCGTGAAGAGGGGCTTTGCAAACCGACACTGCCCCCTTCAAACCCCCTTACTGCGCCAGCCATGCCACAGCGGGGAATTAGGGTTGCCAGTTTCGGATTGGGGAATTCCTCGAGATTTGGGGGGCGGCAGGAGTTGAGCCTGGGGAGAGGAGAGAGCTAAGTGGGGTACAGTATCATAGAGCAGAAGAAGAAGAGATTGGATTTATACCTCACTCTTCACTACCCGAAGGCATCTCAGAGCAGCTTACAAACTCCTTTCCCTTCCCCACAGCAGACACCCTGTGAGGTAGGTGGGGCTGAGAGAGCTCTTTTCAGGACTGCCCTTGAGAGAACAGCTCTGAGGGAACTTGTGACTGCCTCAAGGTCACACCAGCAGCTGCATCCTTTTTGAAATTAATGCCACAAGCAAGGTACTACAAAATAAGGAAGCTGCTACTGAGATTGTAAAGGAACTAGAAATGCATTTATTTTCGAAAAATTGGTGGGCGCACGGAAGAGGGCGCCAGAAGGGATCCTCGCCTAGGGTGCAAAATAAGCTTGGGCCAGCCCTGTGTGGACCATATGGAACGGTCAACAAAAATTGCTGAAGAATTCAGGGGCATGGAAATGCAGTAAAGGTAGTCCCTTTTTATACCTCCCTTATATGGAACCACAAGTGAGATGTAGTACCTGGGCTGGAAAAACGAAACCGCAACAGAAATGGGAACAGAGCCGCTAGAAGCATGCAAAGACAGAGAGCATTTATTTTATTTTCAACCCTGCTCTTCTCCTCATCAGGAACCTAAACCAGCTTACAACATTATTCTCCTCTCCTCCATTTCGGCCTCCCCACAACCACGGCTTTGCGTGGTACATTAAGTTTAGAGAAAAAGACCAGCCCAAGGACACCCAGAGAGCTGCCATGGCAAAGTGGGGATTCGAACCTGTGTCTCCCAAATCAGAGTGTGACACTATGCACAGACAAGGGAAATATAATGCTTTCAGGTGTGCAAAGAAGGCACATGCAGGACTGAGAACAGGGGTGGGTACTGGGAGGAAAAGACAGAAAGAACTGGGTGGAATGCAGGGAGGGCAAATAAATTCAGGGTAGGCGGTCTTTTAAGCACGTGTCTCAGAAAGGCCCTGGAAAGGAAAAGAACACATGCAAGGGAAGCTTGAAGCTCTAGGAAGTGGAACACGTGCAAAGAATAGAGTCTGGCAATATTCCAGTATACTTCTAATAATAGCTCAGAAATCCAACAGGTATAGATCCCCTATGCACAGAGGCAGAGAGGTGTTAAAGGCACAGGAGCTCTGCTGGAATAAAGGATATAAGAAGGGGGGGGGGGGGGCTGAGAAAACCCGAAACAGAAGACTAACAGCCAATGCTCCCTCTAAGCTGTGGAGTCTTGTGAGCAAGAATTCTGCTTTGTGAGCTACTGGCATTATTTAAAGTTGTGAGTGAGCGATTTGGCTACTGCATAAATTAGTTTGCTCCGGAGCCATCCCTTCCTGAGCTAAGGCGAAAATGTGTGAGCCGGAGGTTAAAAAATTGTGAGCTAGCTCACACTAACTCAGCTTAGAGGAAACACTGCTAACAGCACAGACAAGCAAGAGACAGTTAAGGCTGCGGGAAGCGTCTATGGAGGGCCGGCTCCTGGAAAGGGGGCCTGGAAATGTGAGAGAGCAATCCCGGGGCGCACCCACCCAGGCAGAGCCCCACCACCACCACACCAGCTGGCGAGAACAATACACGGGGCGCCGCCGCTCACCTCTCCGAACTGCAGGGCGGAGACGATCAGGAGGACGATGCCCCCGAGGCAGAGGCAAGGCCCATACCTGTGGGACAGGCAGGTATAGGTCTGTCTCTGCAGGAGCTTCAGCAGCATGGCCCGCTGGCCACCATCACCCTGCGGCCCGCCGGTGCCACTTCCCGCGCCAGCGGCCCCCGGCCGGTCCCTGCCGCCGCTAGCCGCCGCCGTTGCCCGAGCCGACTGCCGGCCTCATCGCAGAGGCCGCTGCAGTTGCTCCCGGAAGCGGGTCTCCACGGCGCCACCTACCGCGAGCCCGGCGCCACCTTCCCGCCCGCTGCAGCGAAAGGCGCCGGCTTCGCCTCTCCCGGACGGACGGACGGACGGACGGAGGGAGGGAGGGAAGCCCACTTCCCTTCTCTCCCCCCCCTGCCGAGGCTGTCCGGCAGTCACGCGTTTGTCAGGCCCCCTCGGTCTCATGACCGGCTGCAGGGAAAAAAGGCCTCTCCTCCTCCTCCTCCTCGAAATCTGATCTCAAGCATCTGAGGTTAAATGCAAAGCCGCCAGCGCTTCGTTAGGCTTTCTCAGCGGAGTGATCGTTTCAGATTCAGGCTTTCAAATGTTGCTTCAGAGTCACGGGGAAACAAGCAGTAGCAGTAGCCCGGGGTTTTTTTTCTGGGTCAGCCTGCCATGATAGAACGGTCGATGTGTGGAGCAAGATTGAAGAACTCGTTTTGTATTTTCATCACTGAACGCGGGGGGGGGGGGCAAAGAGGTGTATGGAGATTGTCACAAAAACGGCTGCTAACTTCAGTTTGGGAAGTTCAAGGGTGGGAGGGTGCGATGCCAACAGTCCCCCCCCCCCCTCCTCCACATCCGCTGTCACTTCCTCTAATCTAGGGGAACTATAGTGTGGAGAGCAGTTGTAATTTCGGGAGGGCTGCAGGCCCCACTTACAGGCTGGCAATCTTTAAAAAGCCAGAAAACTTGACAGAAACCCAGCTCTCTCTGTTGATGGAAGGTTGCCTGGGCTCTGCCCCAGAAAATCTGACCAGGGCCTTAGAGGCCATGGCTGGGTGGCTGCAGCAGAGCCAGTGGGATGGTGCAGCACTTGTGCCAGCCCAGAAGGCGAGGAGCCTTGGGGGTGGTCCTGGAGGCCTCACTTTCTATGGAGGCCCAGGTCTGCTTTTTATCATCTCTGGCAGATTAGGCAGCTGGCTCCCTACCTCTCTCCCCAGGATTTGGCTACAGTGGTTACTTCCAGGCTTGAGTACTGTAACTCACTGTATGTGGCCTTGCCCTTGGGACTGATCTGGAAACACCAGCCAGTGCAAAATGCAGCAGCATGCCTGCTGTGTCGTCTATGCGGGCACACATTTAGCCAGCGCTATGCCAATTGCACAGTCTACTAGTTGAATACTGGATCTGCTTCAAGGTACTGGTGTTGACCTTTAAAGCCCTGCGCAGCCTGCGACCGACATACCTGAGGGACCATATGTGCCCTGGAGAGCCTTGTGCTCTGCCGATCAAGATCAGCTGGTTGATTGATTGAATGATTAGACTTCTATCCCGCCCTCCCGGGTGAAGCCGGTTGCCCCGGGACATCCACTTAGCCTCAACCAGGACCAGGGCCTTTTCTGTCCTGGCCCCAGCCTGGTGGAACATGCTCCCATCTGAGATCAGGGCCTTGCGAGACTTACCACTGTTCCGCGGGGCCTGTAAAATGGAGCTGTTCCGCCAGGACTTTGGTTGAGGCGGTGGGCGTGCAATAAAATCTAACTTCCCCCGCTGCTGAAGTTTACCATCTTTATGTGGCCCAGATTAAGAAGATGAAAAATGGCACCAGTTTGAAATCTGCATACGAATAGTGTGACCTGTTTTAATATATGTTGTTTTATTTTGTTGTTATTGTTTTTATACTTAATAATGTATTGTATTTTTATGGTGTCTTGACCTGTTCTGTGATCTGCCCTGAGCCCACTTGCGGGGAGGGCAGAATATAAATGGAAGCAAATAAATAAAATTAATTAATTAATCAGACGCATATGTCATTTTGTTTATAAGTGTTGAGAAGCTACAGCTGGCTTTCTGGAGTGCATGCTGCCTATAAGTGTGAAGAAATACATGTATGGATGTATGTCTCTGTGTAACCACAAACACCATAAAAGTGATGGAGCCAGCACCTCATGATGGCGCTGTATATAAAAAATTGCATTAAAATCATGTTTCCTTGCAGTGTTTACATGCACTTAACTGAAACTCTCCATAAAACCGCACATTGCACCAATGCCTATGGACTGTACTACAAAAAAGCATGGATCCAGCCCACGGTGAGAACACCATGTCACAAAAACATGGCTCTGAATTGCATGGATCCAGTTCCAAGAACTTGGATCCTTGGGAAGCCTTACAATTTTTTCATGCACTCAAATGAAATTCACTGTAAAATCACACATCAAAACAAAGTCCATGGACTGGACCAAAAAAAGGGGGGGAGGAGTTCAGTGGTTTGTGACACCATGGAAGATCTACGAAGAGCTGGCTTTTGCTTTTTTTTCATGTATACATGCTGAGAAACCATAGTTGGCTTTCTAGGGTGCGTGCGCTACCAGTGGATACAGGAAATTGCATGTGTTAGATCTCCACTTGTGAGGAGTAATACATACATGGGACCGTATGTGTTTTTATGAAGCAGCCCTTTAAGCTGATACCAACACATTTTCTGATTGAGCTTCTGATCACATCCATGAGCCCCACCCATCATTCCTAGGGATAGGCAGCTATCTAGGATATGCTGAGCCACTAAAGTATAGAGGTATCAATTTGGATTAATGTTACTTGGGTTCAGCTTCCCACTCTGTTACAAAATCAGGATCCATTCAGCCCTCTTCACACCCATCCCCAGCTGCTCTCTAGGGTACAAAAACTGTTGCATATCGAGTTGCTTGTCTCTAACTGGGTGAGCTGAGCCAGTCACTATCTCTTGTTTTAACCTACTTTATAGTGTCACGGATATGGCCAGAAATATAGGGGAATAGTTGCTGGACTTGACCAAAAAGATCATAGAGGATGTTTCTGCACCCATAAACAGAGCAAACCTGGCCTCTCAGGGAAGCACACCAAGAAAGGAGTCTAAAGACCCAGAACAGAATTGCCTTGAAGAGTAGTAAGAAGATGCACTAGTAATATAATTATATGCCCTTGTGTAGATTAGAAGCAGTCTAACTCATGAACAGTAGATAAAATTTGCTGAGGTCAAGGTGCAAAAGCATCTGAGAATCACAAGACTATCCGGCTTCACAGAAGTGAAGATATGGTTCAAAGATGGGATGTTGGCTGAGGGCCAAAAGATATTCATAAGTATGAGAAACTTGTAATCACTATTTTTGAATAGATTTTTGTTAAGATAAAAAGTAGCCAGAATGAGCTAACGGTTTTTGTATATTCTAAGAAAACATTTCAAGTCTAGATAACATTGTATGGTGTTTGAAGTTATAAGATAATGAGTTAGCCAACAATGTGTGCCCCTTTCAAGTGGGACAGTTAGCTATTAGGAGATAATTTTAAAAACCTATAAATATGGAAGTTGCATCGATCAAGAGCTGCTTTGCAGAGTGGGCTCCTTGCCTTCTTACTTTTGGGGTAAGAAAGTTTTATTGACTCATTTAATTATCTATGTAACAAGGATGGATGGATGGTATAATGTTTTGTGGATTTAGTGTATGTTGTGTTCCGTGCGCCTCAGCGTCTAGTCATGCCAGCCACATAACCACGGAAATGTCTTTGGACAGCGCTGGCTCTTCAGCTTGGAAACAGAGATGAGCACTGCATCCCTAGAGTCGTATTCAACTGGCTTTCGAGCAAGAGAAACCTTTACCTTTACCTAAGAACACAATAGTTATGCTTCAACAAAAAGCTTAAAATGGAAGCAGAGATTCTCTAATAGTATTTACTTGAGTACTATACCCAGAACAAACCTATAGCATTACTGAGGTGTACCTCTGGCTTGGAGTTAAATGATCTGATATAGGAAAGCTGACTTGGTACCTAGAGTTTCTTAAGCGCACACCTATATCTGATTCAGGCCTGATACCATGCTTCCAAAAATTCTAATTCACAAACAATTGAGGCTGTAAGATCTGACGAAGGCACACAGAAACAAAGGCCCCGGTCACACGGCAAAGTTGCCACGGGAGAGGCACGGGAGTCCCGCGGATTTTCCGGGTGCGATCACACCCCAACATCTGGGAAGCACAGTGCTCCCATGGCGAACCCATGGCTCCCCACCAAAGGTGTGGATTAAAAAACTAGTACTTACGAGGTACTAGTTTCCGGAAACCACGAGCCAAGGGCGGGCGTCTGATCGCGTTTCCGGTGGACTTACGTGGCATCCGGCGCCCGTCTCCGCAGGTTACACAACAGCGCCCAACAGTGCATGTGCACAAAGAGCGATTGCTAGTGTGATCGCACGGCGCAGCTTCTGTGCCGCGCAGCAGGATGCCTATCTGGTCAGCATCTCCCCCCTAACCACGGAACCTCGACTGGGACGTGTGCTCCGGCGGCTGCACGTTAGTTTCCTCTGGGGCAATTAGCCACACCTCCCCCCCGCAATATCCAGCCCGTGTGAATCTTGTATCCGGCCAAGATTCTTTTTACCAGCTCCCCATAGTCTTGCACAGGGGTCATTTCCTGCAGGAGTGCACAGGAGCGGAGCTCCGGCAGTAAAGAGCCCAGGGGGCGGGCACATGCAACAAGCCCCACCCCCTGCTCCCAGCAGCCCTCAGTCAGAGCAAGAAGCAGCCAGGTAAGTTGCAGAGCCCCCCCCCAAGACCCAAAACAGTCCAGTGGCACCTTTAAGACCAAGTTTTATTCAGGCACAAGCTCTCCCTCCTCTGCGAGGACAGTCCCGTGCCCCCCCCCCCCAATAGTTAGCAATCCATAAGAGTCCAGTGGAGCCTGAGCGGTGGGTGTTGCCTTCTGACACATTTCCGGTGCAGGCATATGCAAATAAGTTATGCTAATGAGTTATGCTAATGAGCTCCTGCACCTCTTTTTCTACGAAATGACCCCTGGTCTTGCAAACTTCATGTTGTGAACCTGACATTTGTTTACAACTCTTTGAAGTATTCATCACTTGAAATATTGTGTATGTGTTTAGTTATGTGTTTAGTTTTGTTCATATAATTTAAGTTTGTAAATGTATTGTACCTTTAGAACAACTGACACAATACAAATATTGCTTATATAATTTG